CACAAGGCCAGTTTGGTACTTGCTACATTTTAATGATATGTAAATACGTAATGTGGGCAATTACTGTAAGATCCAATTACAGTATTACATATGAAAAGATATTTATGAGTCAATAAATCAATAAATAGGTTTTAGACAAAAGCATCGCGACTCTACGAAATCATAATATTGCACCGTGGTATTAGACAAATGCGCATCAACTATTGCACCATGTTTTGCAAGCCCGTATATATATCGCGAGGTTCTTATCCTGGGCTTAGTTGGAGACTGGGGGCTGTAGGGTGAGGATCCTTCCCTGACACACACTCCGCCGCCTGGCTTCGTCACCACAACAGAAAGGCATCCCGTTAACTACACGTTTGATTTGTAAGTTGTAACTCATAACTTTTTATGTAACTATCCATACTATTAGTGACTTATACACTATTATAAGTTGTGAAAGTGATGGGGTCCACAGATACCTGGAGAGGGTTCTGGGAGTTCTTCTACTCCCCGAGCCCGGCCTGAGGCCAGGCTCGAATTGTGATAATTTGGTCCAACAGGCTGTTGCTTGGAGCGGCCTGCAGGACCACATATCCACAACAACCTGGCAGGTCCGGCACTTCTTGCAAGAACTTATCTAAGTGCCTCTTGAATACATTCACCTTTGTTCCGGCAATATTTATAATGCTTCCTGGAAGGGTGTTGAACAGCTGTGGACCTCTGATGTTCAAGCAGTGCTCTCTGACTGTGCCTATGGCACCTCTACTTCTCACGGGTTCTATTCTACATTCCTTCCATATCTTTCGCTCCAGTATGTTGTTATTCTACTATGCAAATGTGGGTCCTGGCCCTCCAGTGTCTTCCATGTATATATTATTTGATACCTTTTTCGTCTCCTTTCCAAAGAGAATTATCTATATTCCCTCTAATTCAGAGATCTCTTCTGCTCTCAAAGGGGAAGTGAGTACCAAGCAATACTCACGACGGGACAGCACCAGTGATTTAAATAGCATTAGCATTGCTGTGGGGTCTCTGGATTTGAACGTTCTCATAATAATTTTCCTGGCTGCCGCTATATTTGCTTTGTTATGTTCATTAAATGTCAGGCCGTCAGACATCATAATTGCTAGATCTTTTACATGTTGCTTTCCTTCCATGAGTAGGTCTGATTGTGTCTTGTACCCTGTGTTTAGTCAAAAGTTCCTTGTTTCCACCGTACCTTAGTACCTGGAACTTATCACTATTAAACATGTTATTATCAGTTGCCCAATCGAAGACTTTATTAATATCTGCCTGCAGTTTTTCAGTCTTCTACTGAGGAAATTTTCATGCTGATTTTTGTATCATGAAGCTGTGACTAGTATTTCTATATCCGAGATAAGAATGAGAAATAGCAGCGGTGCATGAGCTGTGCCCTGGGTTACAGAACTTTTCACTGCACTTGGGCTTGATCTTATTTGATTGACCGTCACTTCCTGAATTCAGTTTGACAGCAAGTTGAAAATGCAATGCCCATCTTTACCCATTATTCCCTTTGAACTCATTTTATGGCTTATCACTCCATGGTCACATTTGTAGAATGCCTTTGTAAAGTCTGCGTTTACAACATCTACATTTGTGACAGACAGGATCTTTTCACTCTAAATCCATGTTGTCCTGGGTTGTGTAGGTAATTATTTTCCACAAAACTGGAAATTTGATTTCTAATCACTCTTTCAAAAACTTTAATTATGTGTGATGTTAGTGCAATGGGTCTATAATTTTTTTTCAAAGCTTTACTACCTCCCTTGTACAAAGGAGGGATATCTGCTGATTTAAGTGCTACTGGTATCTCCCCTGTATCCAGGCTCTTTCTCAATATTACACTGAGTGCTCACGCTACTGGTACTTTATATTTATTTATGAATAATGATTCCACGAGTCAGGCCCAGGGGGCTGAGTACATGGGCATATTGTTAATTTCTCTTACAAAGTCTTCCGAGATCGTGTTAATGTCAGTTATATTATCTGCAGCTTGGATGTCATTCACAAAGAAGCTGTCTGGGTCTTCAACTTTCATGTTGTTTATTGGGTTGCTAAATATAGCCTCATACTGGCCTCTTAGAATTTCACTAATTTCTATGTTGTCATCTGTGTTCGAACCTTCAGATATAAGAAAAGAGCCAGTACTGGTGGAGGTGTTTTATTTTGATTTTGAGTATGTAAACAAATATTTTGGATTTTTCTTCATTTCTTGTATAGCTTTCTGTTACAATTCCATTTCCTCAGACTTGTATGATCGCTTCAACATCTGCATTATTTCTTCAATTTCCCTGTTTAGATTTATTTTCCTGTCTTGTGATAATCGTGTCTGTTTAAGCATTTCTATGATTTTATTTCCTTCTCCTTTACAGTCGTCTGCGTTCTCTTTCTAACCCTCCTTACAGGAACATGCCTCAAGCAGATCTTTGCTTCAGCTGTCAGTTGAGCTGACAAGATAAGATAAGATAGATATCAGAGCTATAGAAAACTCTGTCTTAAGACAACACACAGCCCCTCCCTTTAATTTAATTATTTTTTTATTTACAAAAAGAAACAATGGGTTGGTGAGTTTACATAAGTTGGTATTTTTACATTCTTGCAAAGTCATTAATACGCAAAGCGTTTAGGGTAGGTCCTTAATATAAGATATCAGGTAAGATGAAAAGGTACATTGAAGGAAAATTCTAAATCAACATATAACAACATTTAACATTTAACTACAATATACATTGACACAGGTGATAACACTGAAGAAGATATATTTCTTAAGAACTAATATTGGGGAAGTGGGTAATAAGATACAGTGTGAGTTTGGAGCACAAGGTAAGAAACTATGAGGATGAAATTTGGTACTTTTTGGTTTTACTTTTGAATGAAGAATAGGTTGGATTTTTTTTAATTCTTCTGGGAGTGAGTTCCTTAGACTGGGTCGTTTTATTTGCATGCAGTGTTTGCACATATATAGTCTGATTCCAGGGATATCAAAGATGTATTTATTTCTGGTGTGGTGCTCATGAGTTATCTTACACCTATCAAGGAAAAGTTTCAGCTCAAAATTAGCATTTAGGAACAAGGTTTTGTACATGTAAAGAGCACCTAAGAATGTGTGGAGTGAGTGTTTGTTTAGAATGTTAAGTGACTTAAACAGAGAGGTTGTCTGAAGACAGATTTTGTTATAGTTCTGATAGCAGATTTTTGCTGAGTGATGATGGTCTTGAGGTAATTTGCAGTGGTTGAACCCCATGCACAGATACCGTAAGTAAGATAAGGATAGATTAGTGCGTAATATAATGAGAGGTGAGCACAGTGGGGAACATAATATCTGATATTAGAAAGTATACCGACCGTTTTTTAGTCTTTTTTTGGCTGTGTTGTATGTGGATGCTGAAGTTCAGTCTCTTGTCTGTCTATAGGCTGAGGAACTTTCCTTCAGTTTTACTGCTAATGGTAATATTGTTTATCTGAAGTTGAATTTGATTTGATGATTTACTGCCAAATAAAATGTTGAAAGTATTTTCTATGTTTAGTGTGAGTTTGTTGGTTGACATCCATGTGTGGGTTGGTTGACATCCATAATTTACAACATTATTTAGTGTGTGGGTAATTGGGGTCAGAATAGATGAATGTAGTATCGTCAGCAAATAGTATAGGTTTAAGAATGTTAGACACATTTGGCAAGTCATTGATGTATATAAGGAAGAGGAGAGATCCTATGATGTTGCCCTGTTGCACTCCTATTGTTAATTGTAGAGTGGGGGAGGTTATGTTATTGATGGCTACATATTGGTATCCTTTACCGAGATAGAAACGAATATAGTTCAGAGCAGGGGCCTTGGATACCATAGTGGTGAAGTTTAGATAAGAGGTTTATCTACCTCTATGATAAGATTTATAAGATGATAAGGTTTATAAGATGATAAGGTTTATAAGATGATAAGGTTTATCTACCTTTATGATAAGAGTTTTACAGGCTCAAAGATCTTTCTCAGGTCAATGAAGAAGCCAAATGGGAAATCATTTTTGTCAAAGACTGTGTAGATTATATTAAGCAGACAAATAATTGCATCATTGGTTTCACAAGGTAGGAATAGAGCTGTTTTTAAATAATGTTTACAAATTTTTTTTAAAGGATAGATAGATTTGATATTGGTCTGTAAATGTTTATGTCAGATGTCTCGCCTCCTTTATGAACTGGTGAAACTCTTTTTTTTTAATATCAGGAAAAGTATGCCACTCTTGGGATTTGTTGAAGAGCAGGACTATGGGTAGTGCAAGAGCAGGGGCAGCACTCTTATATAACATAAATGGTATTTCTCTTATCTTCCCAGCTTTGGTTTTAAGTTGGTCAAACGGGTCCAACTAATTACTCAAGGCTACCCAAAGCTTCCTAGCATTACATAAGTAATGAAGAAATGTGACATATTTACTTACTATAATGCTGGTGCTGAATGTTCAACATGCTAAAACGTATTTTTACTCTGAAAAAAAAATAATTGTATAACAAAATTAGACCATACTAGGTGGCAGCTGATGCCATAGGAAGTCGACGATCCAAGTGACAATGTTGTGACTTTGGGTAATTTAATGGACCCAAAATGGTCAATTTTTAAAATGGTTCACTGCAGGGAGGCATTCTCAGCATCGTTCTCTTCAACTGTTGATTGGAAAGAATAATGAGGCTGAAACTCCCAAAACACTGCAGACTGCTAAACTATGCGGACGACTTTGTCATCGTCATTAAAGGAAGGGATTCAGCATGCCTTGCATGCAAATGTTTAGACTGAATTAGTGAAGAGGCAAAGCAGCTTGGTATCAAACTTAACCCCACCAATCAAAAGCCATGCCCATAAAAATATTGAAGCCCGAAAACCAACTCAAAGTACAGGGTCAACCAAAGTAGGAAAACGTGAGACATAGACTATGCACGAGCACCTGTGCACAGGTGCCCAGGTGGTGCACCGGATGCTCACTTGTTGCACGGTATACGTCTCAGCATGTGTGGTCTACGTCGCAGCGTGGGCGGTCTAGGTCGTAAGCATGTGTAATGAGTCCGTAGACTGTTGCCAGATAGGCAAGTGGTGCACATGTGTCGCACAGTCTATCTACTAAGTCACGACACACTGTCTACGACGCAGGTATGGAAATGATTAAGGTAAAGATGCAAATGAGGTTATGGATGTAATGGGTTGAATGGGGTAATGATGCAAATCAATGATTTTTTTTAAATGAACAAAAAAGAAATAGATAAAATGTCAAAAAGATCGTTCAGCATTACGTGTGTCAGGTAGGTTGTTTCATGTTCTATGTTGAATTGAACGTTAACTTAAAATGTTTCATCTGAGTATCAAAATGATTTGTTTATAGATTTTTTTTAGTGATAAAATTTAACGGTTTGAGATCTATTAGGCTTCACGAAGCTGTCGAAATCCAGCAGAGAAAATACGAGAGCAACCGTACAGGGCCTGGGAGCAAGGTTGAGTTAGAGTCCTTGATGGTCTCTTCTCAGACTAGCCTCACCTGGTCCTGATCCATGTTGGTCGTTGGAATCTCTTCAATGCTTGAAACACTTTAAGGGACTCCTAGGGTCCTCATCACATTTATAGATTAGTGAATAATAAGCAACTCGGTGGTGAAGACACCTGGAGCTGAAGGCTTGAGTAAATAGTTGGCAGTATTCAGAAGTGGTTCAACGGAAACACCGCATAAAGCTTAACAGTAGTTTATTTACTAACTTAACCACTAATACAAAGGGTGCTTGATTTACTTTAGTTTGGCGTCAGAAAGGGTATGGTTGCATTAGTGGGACTCTTGACGTCTGACTAATCGATTCAGATCCAGTCGTGGAGCTTCTCATACCAACCTAACTAAACAGAATCGACAACCAATCATTAACACGGCAAACCTAACTGCCGGTATGCAAAGGGGTCACATGAGTTCCAACCGGATACTCGGATAATGATGATGCACAATAAATCACAATGGCACTGTCAATGGGACAGGCAATAAACATGCACAATAATTATGTCACACAATAACTAAATGTGTGGTGTATGTGAAGCTCACATTCACAGACGAGAGTAATGTCGTGATACCACACAGATAAACACGCATACACTGTCAGGTGTCTTGGTCTCCACCTATACCTGTGTCAGGTACGAGAAGGTGAGAACTGTGGTTGATCCCTCAGATCAACACAGACACAATAATACAATAACAAGATCTTGTACTTACAGGTAGGCTACCTCACTTATTCACTCACTCACTCGTGCACATTCATGCAAGAACTCGTAGGTGGCCTGACAGCTGGTTTCGCTTGTTACGACGTGAAACCATTGACGACAGGCTTTCCAAACAAACCGTACTTGACACGGAGGGTACTCGCAGGAAGGCGCGCTGCTATGTCTAACAGACACACGCACACACTTGATTTCACTATCGGTGAGTAAGGTGGTGACATCACGTAGTACAGTTAGGCAGGGCGGGTGGCGGCTAGCCACACGCTCTGGACCGAGTGGCGGCTGGTTATATGATACCATGCAAGTACACTGTGGGAAAAGTCACACACAGATTACTTAGGCAGCGACACTCCTTAGTTCCCTCTAGGTCACTCACAACGATCTCAATTTGTCACCAGGGGTTACCTGATACCAGTCAGTTTCGTTCTGGTGATTTGTCACCAGGCTTCTAATCAATATAGTCACAATCACGATTCAGGGCGAGCGTTGGTATATTGAAAAGATGCTGAGTTTAAATTGACGGTGAGGAATGAACGGTGTTCTGTCTATTTGGCCGAATAGACAGAACAGGACACGTCCAATATGTATGAACTTTCTCACATGAATACCCGTGCATGAGAATGCAGGGCTCCTCATGGGGCACAAACACAAGGGGTTACAATTGACCAATGGCGTTCCAGCAAAAGAGCAGGAACTAATCATATTGATTGTTCCATGATCAGTAGCAGAGATGACATCATGCATACGTCATGAGAACATCACAGTTGTTATTCTCCATCGCGCCGGTTGAGGCTGACCCCAGAGGTCAGCCTAACAGGTGTATTCTTCTTGTTTAGGTTAGTTAGCGGAGTTGCTATGGACGTGGAATTTGGAATGAAAGTTCTATAGTACCCTGCAAGACCCAGGCATGACTTAACCTGTGTCTTGGTGGCAGGTGGAGCGGCTTCACTGATCTTTGTGATCTTCTCAGGCAACGGCCTGGTGAACCCTCCTCCTATCACGTGACCAAGGTACCTGACCTCTTTGCACCCCAACTTACACTTAGTGGGTTTTGCAACCATTCCTACTTCTTGTAGTCTTGCCAACACTTGCCTCAGCAAGGTCAGATGTTCTTCCCACGTAGCAGAGTGGATGAGCACATCGTCCACGAACACTTCTACTACAGTAATTCCCCCCAAGACTGTGCGCATAGTTCTGTTGAACACGGCTGGGGCGTTCACCAGTCCAAAAGGAAGAACTGTGAACTGAAAGAGACCTTCGCTTGTCATGAATGCAGTGCAGCGCTTACTGTCTTCATCTAGTGGAATCTGCCAAAACCCTTTCGTCAGCTCCAACTTGGAGAAATAGCAACTGGAAGCTAACCCTGAGAAGATCTCATTTTGATTGAACATTGGTTCAGCATCAAACTCTATGATGGAGTTCAACTTCCTGACGTCGAGGCAGATGCGCACACCTCCTCCAGGCTTCTTCACTAACACCATCGTACAGTGAGGTTGACTTCTCTATTACTCCCGTGTTAATCATAAATACCAGTTCTTCTCTCTCCTGTGGTACAAGGTGATGAGGAACAGGATATGGTTTTGTGCGTACCGCTTGCTGTTCTAGCAAAGGTATGCGGTAACCCTCTACCTTTGCTACCTTAGTGACGTCAGAGAGTACCTCCTTCTACTCTGCTACCAGTCGAGTAACCTGGTCGACTTGATCTTCAGACAGCTGATCATCAACCTTAACCACTCGGTGTGTCTCATGCTGTTGTTGATTGAAGAGACTCGGTTGACCTACCTCCTCGTCGGCGGTTATCACTGAAACACCGGAGATCGTTGCTGAGCGCAGTGGATGGTCGATCGGTCCTGTCGATGTCGAGTCCCGTGGTCCTCTCCTGTTCTTACGTCTTACATGCTTCTTCGGCTTTGTGGATCCATCTACAGGTGCGTCCTTGTAGCGTTTGAGCATGTTGACGTGGTACTTCTTCTTAGCACCATAAACGTCGAGTACGTAATTTAACGAGTGCGAGCACTCCACTACCGTGAATGGGCCCTTCTACTGCAGCAAGAGTTTGTTCGTGCTGGTGGCAAGTAACGAAAGTACCTTGTCACCTACACTGAACTTGCGTTCTTTTGCTTTTTTCACCTTTGCAGACACTCCCTGAATGTCTCGCAATTTCAAACGTTTTTCAGGGAGAGTTGGCTTTTTGCTCTCTGACCTCGTATGACAGTTGCCACGAGCGAGTTACCTGTTAATGGAGTTGCTGTCGCTTTAAACATGGGTTTTGCTTCTCTCTCCATAACTTCACAGCTTGCCTTCTCTCCCTTATTCTTCAGCTGGGTGTGGGTGTGGTCACCCCCGGGCGAGTCACCCGTGGCACTAGCTGACTGAGGACGACTGCACCCAGCTGAGGCAACTTTCTCACTCTCCCCCGTTTTCTTTAAGGGTGGACTTTGGCAATCAGAGACTCCCGGTACATTCCCCAATAAAAGTCCATATACTGCACGTTCTTGTTGAACGGCGCAAATTTTTCCCTTGACGTATGGTGTGTCGACCCACACATACACCTCCACCATCTCCGAAGCATAGCCATTTGGGAATTGGACATAGATGTGTCTACCTGTCTCAGATCCTGGCGTTACTAAACTTTTTCTTACCATGTGGGTAGTGGCGCCTTTGTCACGGAAGATTTTCGCCGATTTCCGTTAACATTTCCGTCCACCACCTCAAGGGTCCAAGCTAGTGGATCCTTTCCGACGTTGGGATGTTTTTTACCACTTGAGCTCACACCTGCTATGTAACCTGGCTTCGGTTTTGCCTTGCAATCAGCTGCCCAATGACCTGGTTTACCACAGGTGTAACACTTGTGCACATGCCTGTTGGAGGAGTTTTCCTGCTCCCCGGACACACCAGTCTTAGGCTTAGCTCCCTCACGAGTACCTGTAGCATGATGCTTCTCATGCGGCTTCACCCCTTTCACCTGTCTCCTGGCCCCAGCCAGGGTAACAGTGTAACAGATCAGTGTAACACCATAGAGGTGTTTTGTTTAGTTTGTATTTAATATATACACAGAGTACATGAGTCACAGACAGGTTTTGAGAGGCGCCAGGTTGGCGGCCCCTAGGATTTAAGAAACTCACACCTTTAAGCGTTAATGACCTCAAGTCGACCTGAGGTCAGCTTGTGCGAATTTCACCTTGCTTCTGCTAATCTGATAATTGTAGCCTGATAGCCGGGTAAGTCCGTCAAACAAACTGACGTTTAAGGAGTGGCTTGGTAGAGGGCCTGGGGCTATATACTTGTGGGCAGAGTTAGCTAGTTGGTCCCCAATAAATACTTGGGGAGCTGTAGATTCGAGAGGAATAAGGAATAGGAGAACAGCCAGCAGAGCAGAGCAGAGGACAGCATAGCCAGGCAGGCTGTCAGCCGATGGGGGGGGGGGGATTCTGTCAACTGCAGACCCTCCCCGCCCTCTCTATCCAGCTATAGGCAGACACTTGGTGAGTTGAACATGAAAGTTGACTTATTTTGTGTACTAAGATGTTGTGTGATCTCTAGGGGCAGACAGCTGTAGTGACTCTCAAAGTTCTGTGTGGTAGCACACATTGTTTATCTGGACATAATGAACCTTTAGTTCGATTGCTTGAATTCTGATATTTATCATGCTAAATAATTATTTGATTCACTTACTTTTAATTTGATTTTAATTGTGTCCCCGAGATCTTGGAATTTCTGATATATGGCCAGCTAGAGTATAGAATACTCTTGAGATTATTGAATTAAAGGATCTTACCTGGAACATGATTCCAGTTGACACATGCTAATAACATCTTTGATATACAGACAAGTTCCATTCCTTGTCTTGTATGTACTGACTAGAATGGATGATGGCAGCTATTTCTACTTCTACTTTC